AATGACCAAATCCCCTTTTACTTGAAAATAAATAAGTCTATATAAATATTGGCATAATACATAGTGATGTATATGGACCCATGTCAATTAACATTAGATAAGTTTTCTCTTATGTTATCAATTATTATGAATACTTGATAAAATTCAAGCATGAAGTTCTTGAAAGGTTTAAAGGATTTAAGCTAAAAGTAGAGAAACAAATAGGTAAAGATACCCTCACATTAAGATCTGATCGAAGTAAGAATATCTTAAAAATAAAATTTAGATTATCTAAGAAAGAATGAGATTCTCTTGTAGTGAACTCCTTCATATACATGGCAACATTGTGGTGCATCTGAATGGAGGAATCGTAAACTATTAGATATAGTGCAATTAAAAATGAGCCATGCAAATCTCCTAAAATCGTTTTAGAGTCATGCACTGATTGCAGTGTGCTACACACTGAATTATGTCTCATTTAAGTTGGTTAACAGAATTTCGTACGAGCTATGAAAATGTAATAGTCCCAACTTATCTCATATGAAAGTTTGAATCTGTGACGCTTATTTGAAGCGCGTTGAATCGGATAAACTTGAATATATATATTCGATGAATACATATTTGTAGGATATCCAAAATAAATATTTGGATATCAGTTCTATTGAGAAGAAAAGTCTTCATTCCACGATATATCGTCTTCTTAGATAAAATGTTTACTCTAGGAGAGGACAGTGGGAGCAAAATAGAACTTGAAAGAGTTTAAGTGTCCACAGATATAGTTAACCAAGTAGATGAATTCGTGTTTTATCCCATATCTGATGTGGGGCATACTCTTGATCAGGAAGTGTAAAGACTCCCGAGAACATGTCAGCTTTGTGTGAATCTAATAAGATCGTTCGACCTTTAAGAAGGTGCGAATCCATGATTACTAATCAGACATTATTGATACAGGATGATGAACCTACTAATTACACAAAAATAAAGTTAAGCGTTGACTTAAAAGAGATAACAAGAGGCCATGAAACCCGAGATGAACTCGACGTATGTGAACAAGGTTTGGACCTTGGTCGACCCTCCTAATAAGATAAAATCCATAGGTTGTAAATGGTTTACAATTAAAGGTTGAAATGGATGAGAATATTCATACATACAAAGTAAGGCTAGTAGCAAAATGTAATAGACAAAGACAATGTGTTGACTTTGATAAAACTTTTCGTCTGTAACCATGCTGAGGTCCATTCGAATTTTGGTTGTAATAGTTGCATACCATGACTATGGGTTAAAACAGATCTCTTGGAGTTGAAATTTTCGATTTGATGGAAAAATCAAAATGTTTGATTTTATCAAATATGAAGACGAATTGTGTGTTTCCAAGAAGATAGTGGGAGCATTGTCGCATTCCTAATATTATAGGAAACGACATCTCTATATTTCAATCGTTGAAATAATGGTTGTTAAAGGATTTATTTATGAACGATATGGAGAAGCAACTTGATCTATAAAGATAGATCTAGAAGATTGCTTAACTCATCACAATCTATATAGATAAAATTTTGAGAAGATTTTATATGGAGAAATTGGTTTACTCTTAAACGGTGTGTTGAAAATGTTCCAAACATGAAACAATCGTTGATTCAATAGCGAAAACCTAATACATGATTGTTACATAAGCAGCAAAAAGTTGCAATGTGAATCAAGATATTCATTAATGAACTTGGAGTAGTTCCTAATATTGTTGATTACATGCCATTGTATTGTGATAACAATAGAGCCATTGTGAAAGCAAAGGAACCAAGGTCTCATCAATGATCCGAACATGTATTAAGGTGGTATAATCTCATCAGAGAGATAATACATAGAAATAACGTAAAGAGAAGAACGAACTCCCACATTTGACAATATTGCAAATTCACAGACAAGAAGTTGTCATAACATAAACATGATCGTCATATAGACTCTTATGATATATGATACATAAGTGATTGGATCTAGTGCAATTGAGAGTTTGTAAGTATTATGCCCTATGTTCAATCAACCTTGGACATAAATACTTTTAATATATAATTAATGTGATTTAATGGTAGATCTATTATTTAATTAATAGATAATAAAATTAAATAATAGAATCCGTATATTCAAATCTTCGTAATTTGTTAATCACAAGGAGTTATGATTGTGAGATACAAATTACATATGATTGAATCTTAAATCGTTCGTGGTCGTAAGTAATAACGAGATACGGATATCGTTATTACGAATAGACCATCACTTGTGGCATTTCTTACTTATTAAGTAAGTAGTTGATCTCGTAAGTTAAAGTGTGGTGACACTTAAATGAATACGTGGATGTTTCGTTATAGAACAAAACATTGGAGACCCACTGAGAAATTCCACATTGATAACTATCTGAGTGTCAGTGGTTAATCACTAACGTTCGATAGTGGAATTGATTCTTTGATTTGAGGTTGTCAAGGTACCTTATATGAGGACAGTCATATTTTGACGGTGTTGGATATTACTCTATCAAGGGCCGCTAATATGACATCGTTCGGGTATGTCAAGAATTGTATGAAGGTTGTGAATGACCAATAGAAGATTCGTCACTCTTAGACAGTAGGAGATTATGATCTGCGTTTCATTCAATTAAGTCAATAACGAAATCTTTGACCAAGATGTACTCATAAGTCGAAAAGGAATTTTCGACTTATATTGACTTAATAGTGAAGTGAAAGATATAATCGATAATCGGGATTGACACACTTCCATATCTCGTAATTGATCGGATCATATTAACGAATGGATTATAATTTCACGGTTTATGAACGAGTTTGGTTTCTCATACCACGTGACATTTCCCATCACATGTATTGCCTTGACACATTACTATATGTCAATCTGGGACGACGAGTGTAAATTGGTTATAAATTAAAATGGTGTTTTAATTTATCAATTTTGATCAGATCAAAATAATATTTCATTTCATTAGGCATCTTAATCGGGAATTTGATGGGTCGCACATAAAAGGAGAACTGAAAAATTGTGATTTGTCAATTATTTAATTTAATAAATGTTGGATAAATTAATTAATTGAGTTGCTTATTTCTATGCATGAATTGATTAATTGAATTAATTAATTCGCGGACCAAATTTAATTAAATAAGTTAATTAAATGTTGGATTGGGTTAGGCCAAGTCCATTCGGGCTTATATAAATATGATTAGAGTTTTCAAAATTGCAGAGATTTTCCATTATTCTTGCTAGCACAAGAAAAATCCTAATACTGCAATCTTATTCTCTATGTGGATCACTATTGGAAGTTAGACAATTGGACAACTGTGGGTGGCGAATCAAGGTTACTGGAACATAGAAAAAGCAAAGGGTTTTGCAGATCTAGAAAAATGTATGACTTTTATCACAATTTCTACCTAAACACAAAGATGAATCCTGGTGGGAATAAAAATTGTTTTATTTTCCGCTGCGCATGATAAATAGATTCCCAACAATGCCTAGGCCTAAGAATCAATTCCATCGAAAATGTTAACAAGCCGTCAGAATTTAAGATTAGTATAGCCATATTGAAGGACATGTTAAAACTTCCTCTTTCATTTTCCGTGCAACTTCCAGCTTGAAAATCTGATCATTCTCACCCAAAAGAAGATGTATCCTCCGTAAAAAAGACCTCAAAATTTGGGTGAAAAGTAATTAAAAATAATTAGTTTAAAAGCCTATGGTGAAATATACACCTGTGGAAAATGTGGGATGTTAGTATCTTTGTTACTAACCACAAGACCTTCCAGCAATTCTCCCCTTTCTTTTCTGTTGTTGAACATCACCTATCATCAATATCAAGTTAAACCACATCATTTTAAACTTAAATTAATAATAAAAAAAATTTAAAAAGTTATTCAAATTCTGTCATAAAGGGTATGTGGACATATCGAAACAAGCCGGCCATGAACCGGAGTGGAGCACTAGTAGTTTTTACCCGGTTCAAGGTCTAGGCTAAGCTTGGACTTGTTAAATTTAATTGACGAATAAACCGGCCTCCCTTAGCGTTATTGATTGAAGATGACATACAGCCTAGCTCGTTCAGGGTGTCCTTAATTAAGATTTTGATAGATTTTAAGAGATTATAAATCCCAATGAATTTCATAGATTTGAATAGATTTTCATAGATCTCATAAGAATATCATGAAATATAGTGAAATTTTAAAGATTTGATTATATGTATTTTTAAACTTGAAATTCATCCAAATCATTTAAAATCCTCGTATTAAAGAAATCCTTATAATTCAGTTGTTATTGAGGATACATAAATTTTTGAGGCTTTCATTGAATTTTATTTAAATTTTAATTGGGACACCTAAATTTTAACGGATTTCATTAGAATTCAATTGATGACACCTAAATTTAGAAGGATTTTTAAAATCAATCACAATCTAAATTGAGAAAGCCCCTGAATCACTTGAGTCGGTAATTGAAAGTGAGCAACCAAACCCATTATGTTCTCCTTTTTCTTTTTTTATTTTTTTTATAAAGATATATTTATTTATAATTATATTTTCAACATTTTCCATCCGTGCAACACGAATTCAAATTTTTGCTATCAAAGTCTATACGTAAATTTTATGATCGAGTTGTGGTGAAACTTGAACAATTCAAAAATTCTATTTAAAAGTTAAACTGTTGAAAAAATATTAATTTTATTTATATTTATACCAACCATTATGTAACTAGTTTTTCAAATACGTCATTCGATTAAGAAATGTGCTAGGTGTATAGCATATTGTACACCTTCTTTGACGGTCTTCTCACATGAAGAGGGTGGAGCTTGCGATTAAAATAATCGCAGGACACCCATGTGAGAGGGCTGTCAAACTAAGTATACATTAGAGCTGTACATTTAACATTTTAATATCAAGTTAAGAACTCTTGCATTTGATTGTCAATATTTTTCATAGAAAATGTGTTTTTCACTTAAATTCCTACTTTTGTGCTATTATATTTGACATTATTTTTAATAGAAAATACTTTCCTACTTTTGGTTACGTGATCATATTTTATTCAAAATCAAGAAAAATATTTTCTTTAGGAGGAATAAGATTTTATTTTCTAAGGAATTCACTTTCTTCCATCTTTCAATTATCTTTCATCTACCCACCAATAAAAAAAGACAAGTATAATATTTTCTAGGTTAAAAATTAAATCAATCAAACACATTTAATTAACAATTTTCATGCAAATAAGTTATGGTCAATTAAATTGTCTAAAATTTATTTTCTTACCATGCAAATTCCATGCTTCTAATCAAACTGACCCATAGTTATCGAAATTTATTTATATCTCAAATGTAGTCAAATTGAAGCATAATCATTTATTTTTCTTTTTCTTTCAGTGACATTAGGGAAAGAAGAGGCGACCAGTACACGTATAGCATTTACGTGGTTGATGTCTCCTTGATGATGAGGTAAAAAGACAACTATATATTTGACTCAGTTTCTGTGCCTATATTCCCAAGATCGAATAAAGCAAATGAACAAATATTTTATTTAAATCTCTTTCAAAATGAAATCTATTTGTCCAATTAAGTGGGCAAGTATGAACATATCATGTTAATAAACCGTAAGTTGAGATTTGTAGTCCTTTTCCTTCCATTATTTTCTACTAATGTTTTAATATTTCAGCACATAAAATCGGGATACGAGAAAAAGTAATTTCAAATGTGAAGTCATGACGTGACTATACTACAAGCGATTATCATTCACATGATTTGTGATGTCAACCGAATTGATATAGGAAGTAAGTTAAAGTGATCGAATTGGTTGACAAAAAGGGTGATCAACCGTTACATTTTTTTTTGCAGTGGGTCCCGCATGAACTAAAAAATGCTGACCCTCCATGTGTGTTTTCGATTATCCCATATGTCAACCTCTATATTAGTGTAGCAAAGCCCTTGATATAGACTTGGCAGCCGTGATTTGACCTATTACATATCAAAAAAAAAAAAAAAAAGGTTAAACCCTAACCTTAAAGGTCCTCCACTACCCCTACCCTGGAGTATCGTGAGGGAGGTAAATCGCAGGTTATATCTCCAAGGGTACAAAGTGGAAGGCTGCTTGTATACTTGCACTTATTCAAGAGCCAAATCCATATTTCAGGAGGATTCGAGATTTTTTATTTCTTTTTGCTAAATTCTATTTCATATAATTAAGATGTATCGACCGTGAACTATACTGCCAAGGTTGATGAAATCTACATCCATGACGGGCTAGACCATCCTAATTTTGGACCGTCCAGGGCTGCTACACCCCTTGGCCGCATATGGTGTTCATATATATACTAAGTCATGATCTTTTAAGCATCAATATTTAGCTTATATTAAGTATCGAGTTGCGTGACACACTACAATAGTGGTGAATGATAATGGTTAGATTTAAAATTAATTACATCACCCATTGTAGTTTGACACCTGAGTATGGCACAGGTACTTATTAGATCAAATCCGTGTATATATAAAGAACTATATGGCTTGTATATCGCAACTAACCTCAAGAAAGTCCTTATGGAACCGATCAGGGAACCAAAGCTTCTTATGAGCTCCAACTTTGAGAAGTGCCCGGCAGCCCTTAACGGTGGTCGGCAACAAAAGCTCCGCCGATGAATTGAACCCAAGTCTGCTAAATGTTGCACGGCTAATGGAGTCCGTCATAGCCACAACTGAACCAGAAACCGCCAGTGCCTCCACCAAATCAGGGTACAATTCCGCCATCTTAAACGCAACCATACCGCCGTAGCTAAATCCAACCACCGTGCACTTTTCAATCCCCAACTTCCTCAGCCCCTTGGCCAGACACTCCGCCTGAAACGTCGGCGACCTGTCGGAGCTGTCCGTGATTGAACCGCCGAAAAAGAGCAGGTCCGGCACGTAAACTGAGTACTTTTTTGTCAATGAACCCACCTGGAATTGCCAGGTGACAATGCCGTCGGCCGCAAAGCCGTGCACCAGTACCACCACGGGTTTTGTTGGTTTGGCAGTGGAGTCGGCGGAGGCCTCAGTGGTTTTAGATTTTTTTGGCTTTTGGATTGTTTCAGAGGGGACCCAAATGCTCAGAACCGTGCCTGGTTCGATCTCGATTGTGTGAGGTCGAATCCCGGCCATTTTCACCAGGCCATACAACAGTGACCTTAGAGCTGCAACCAGGTTCACCATCACCGTGCGTGTTAGTGCTACGGACAGCAAGTGAGAGGGAATTTAACCAAGGAAAAAAGAGCGTAGGTGTTTGGCTGTTCCGCTGCTTCCTTGATCAACTATTTTGTGACCACTCATTTTCAATTATAAATTTCTAATTTTCACATTGTAAATTTTATCTCATCCTGATCTTCGTTTATGTTTTCATGTATTTTAGAGTGTATTTGATTTGCTGTTTTCAATTTTTAGTTTTTGTAAAATATTAAAAATGTGTTTGGTCTGATTTTTTGAACATATATTTTCAATTACAAGAATAAATTTATAAAATAAAACTCAAAAAAGCATTTTTGACATTTTGATTATTTTCGTTGAAAATTCTGAAAATATTCATGGAAAACATATGTTTAATGAAATTTGCTTAGATATTCTTGAAGTGGAACTTCTGACAATATGATTCCAATATTGACACTTTCCTCGTAGGTCCCTTGCTCCACAGAGAGAATTCAGCAGCTTGTTGAGCTGATGATCACAAGATAGAATAATCAAGAAAAGGACAAGAACATCTCCCGTGCGATTGTGTTGGGTGATAATCATTTAGCCCTATCCGATCCACATTATTTGAAAAAAAAAACGTTTTTAAACAATAATTTCATATCATTTTAATTATACATTCTTGAATAAAATAATATTACACATAAATTTAAAAATTTTTCTTATATTTTAACCAAACATTTCTCATCAACTCACTATTTAAAAATACATTTTTCTTTTTGAAAATAATGTGACTCAAAGAAGGGCTATGTTTAATTGCTACAGAGCATCCACTGTAAATTTAATTTAACTTTTTTTCTTTTTTTTCTTTTTTCCATTATTACTTTGGTTAATTGTTTAAATATCTGTTGCTTATGACCTGGTTTATTTGCAGACCTAAAAGGTAATGAATGAAATGCAAGGACATAAATCTTGAACGACAGGTGATGCTTCTGTTCATAAAATTTGTGAAAAATATCAGTAAATGGGGATGCATTTTTTAAAATGCTCAAAACATGGTAAACAAATGTTAGATTTCTAACCAACCGAGGAATTCCCTCCGTATAAAGAATATTAGGGCGAGTCTCCATTATGTGTATCATAGTAGAGAGAAGACATAAAGATGCAAGAATTCAAAACATATTGTAATTCTCTTCTTCGGTATGATGTAATTTCGACGGATGCATATAGATCTCACATTAAGAGTGAAGGCATGTGAATTCTTTCAAGGCAAGGGGCGGCCTGATTCGACATTGTTGTTTACTCTGATCCAGTCGAGGTGGTTCTCGTTTACCAACACGTAGGTGGTCTAAATTCCTATGACCGAGTCTTTCAAGTTATGTCGTGTGTTATTTTTGTTTTTCTTTCTTTTTCTGTATGATTAATTGCTCTTGGTAATACGGATTATTCCTTTAATCCATAACAAATAGTATTGCAACATTGCTTAGTAAAGTTCCGATGCTGAAACATAAATGTTCTTTTTCATTTGTTTAACCAAAATTTCTTAGTAACGTTGTGTTTAATTAGTCCCTGCATCATCATGTAGTTGAATCACTTGCTTTTTTTATCTTCAAATCTTCTAACTTACTATACTCTAATGGCCAAGAACTCATTACAATGGTAGGAGTTTATTGTTTCAATCCAAGTGCGAGATTCCTACACTTAAAAGACGGTTTTAGACCATTTTCATTCACGAAAATTACATATTTTCGTCCATATCTTCTTCTTCTTTCATATGTAAAGGTCTTAAGAAAATTGAAGGAAGTTTATACTCCGAGATCATAAACGAAGCTAGAATTTTCACACATAGCCGATCCTGGGCCGAGGCATTTGAGGCCTACGCCTCAGGCCCAAAATCAAAGGGGCCTAATTGACCACTAACCACTTGCTCGCCGGCCGCTCGGGCTCCGCGTTTCAAGTTCGTTATCCTAACCGTCTCCTCTCCTCCACCAGGAGCCTGGCCCCTTCTTCTATCTTATCTACTGCCTTGCTCCTCGGCTCCGGGTTTTTTATTTATTTATTTATTTATTAAGGGTTTAGAGAGTTAAAGGCAAAATTGATTTTCCATTCGTTTTTCCTCATGCCTGTGACAATGTGAACGATGATCCATTTTAATTTCATCAAGACAAGGTCACAAATTTTTTAAAACAACTCTAGAGTTTGTATGTCATTTTAATTTTGTATTGTTTCCGTAAATTTGTAATGCTTAAATTTTTGCGTAAATAATCGAAAATGTTACTAGATGTGCAAAATGGAAAATAGGAATTCGTTCAATATATCCTGATCCAAGAATCTGTGTCCTACTTGAACCTGCATCACGTTTGGTATCTATTTACTATTTAGTGTCCCTGACTAGCATAAGGTAATAGGACATTGTGTAATGATGAAATTTTTATTTCAGGCTTATGAATTGTGACGGTGGAATTCTCAAGGGTGTGATTCCATAATTTTCATTGAAATTTTACTTCTCAATTCAACAACGACTTGATGTTTGAATCCTTGTCGGCTTATATAATGATGGCCTGATCGGTTTATATGATTGGTTATTATATGATTAAAATTGCATAGGCGTACGTAGTAACTATATTGAAAACTCTAATTGTGAGATAATTGAGATATTTCGTAATTGTCTTTTAGGTTAATCGTTGGGCATTAGGTTGCATAATATATCGTTGAACTAATATATTTGTTCATTATTTTAATGTTAAGTTTTAAGTTAGTAATAGAATGCAAGATATACCGTTGAATTTTGTATTTACGTTGATTCCGTCTGGGGGCCCAATTTATGAACTTCGCCTCGGGCCCCGACAATCACATGACTGACCCTATTTTCACATAAAGATGAAAATTTGAACGAGAGACAAACTATATATGTATTAATGTATAAAAATTATTATATAATTTCTAAACTTGAGAAAAATTTAAAAAATGCTTTAGGATCTGTCACTCCCACCTCCCTCCCTGCATCCACACAAAAGAGTTTCATAGTTTGAATTCAAATCTAAATCAATCTCACCAATCCATTCTCTAACCTTTTTTAACATCAATCAATAGCATGAATAATGAATTAATACACCAAAGTCATAGTGTTCTATGACATATAAAAAAATTAAATATCCATTATTTTTACAAAAGGAAATTAAGGAGCAAAATGAGTGGAGACTTGAATTAAACTTCATATTTGGCTTGATTTGCATGTGCATGGAAGGAAGCAAGAAATTTGTTGAGACGCCTATTGTAGACGCATGGTCGTTCTAGGTGAACCAAATGTCCTGCTTTCTCTATGCCTTCAATTGTAGCATTGTCTCCGAGCTCCCTATTTCATGTAAAACAATTTAACAAATATCAAGTAAAATTTCACGTTTGTTAAATCAAACATCACAAGTAATCACGTCTTGTCCTAACATGGGTTATCGTCCCTAAACGGGTTCAATAGGACATGCTTAGGACCGAGAAAGGTCAACTCCATCTAAAATGTTAACAAGTCGTCAGAATTTAAGATTAGTATTCTCATTCGAGCCATTTTGAAGAACATGTTAAAACTTACTCTTTCATCTTCTGTGCAAGTTCCAGCTTGAAAATCTGATCATTCTTGCCCCAAAGAAGATGTATCCTCTGTAAAAAAGACCTCAAAATTTGGGTGAAAATTAATTAAAAATAATTACTTGGGTTAAACTTAGTTTAAAAGCCTATGGTGAAATATACACCTGTGGAAACTCTGGGATGTTAGTATCTTTATTGCTAACCACAAGACCTTCCAGCAACTCTTCCCTCTCTTTTCTGTTGTTGAACATCACCTATCATCAATGCAAAGTTAAACCACATCATTTTAAATTTATTTAAATTAATAATCTTTTTTTTTTTTTTTTTTTTTTACAGTGACGTTACAGAAAAAAGAGACGACAGTACACATATTGCTTTTACGTCGTTGATGATGCAGGAAAAAACCAATTATGTTTGACTTAGTTTCTGTGCCTGTATTCCCAAGATTGAGTAAAGCAAAAGAACAAATATTGTGGTTAGTAAAGTGAATCGAGATGTTAGTTCTATGGGTCGAACTTGTTATTGTTTCAAATTCTATCGTATGGACTGCGAACCATAGAGCCAACTGCCATTACCAAGGTCGACGAAAACTAGATCCATGATGATTGATGGGTCAGACCAATCCATCCCGGTTTTGGACTGTCCAGGGTACGGTGGATATATCGACAAACGTAATGAAAAGAAATATTCGGTTTGACCGTTGCAACTAACCTCAAGAAAGTCCTTGTGAAGCCGATCAGGGAACCAAAGCTTCTTATGAGCGGCAACTTTGAGAAGTGCCCGGCAGCCCTTAACGGTAGTCGGCAACAAAAGCTCCGCCGATGAATTAAACCCAAGGCTGCTAAGTGTTGTATGGCTAATGGAGTCCGTCATAGCCAGAATTGAACCAGAAACCACCAGTGCTTCCACCAAATCAGGGTACAATTCTGCCATCTTAAACGCAACCATACCGCCGTAGCTAAATCCAACCAACGTGCACTTCTCAATCCCCAACTTCCTCAGCCCCTTGGCCAGACACTCAGCCTGAAACCTCGGCGACCTGTCGGAGCTGTCAGTGACTGAACTGCCGAAAAAGAGCAGGTCCGGCACGTAAACTGAGTACTTTTTTGTCAATGAACCCACCTGAAATTGCCAGGTGACAATACCCTCGGCCGCAAAGCCGTGGACTAGTACCACTACGGGTTTCGTTGGTTTGACAGTGGTGGCGACCTCGGCGGTTTTAGATTTTTTTGGCTTTTGGATTGTTTCAGAGGGGACCCAAATGCTCATAACTGTGCCCGGTTCGATCTCGATTGTGTGAGGTTGAATGCCGGCCATTTTCATCAGGCCATGCAACAATGGCTTTTGAGCTGCAACCAGGTTCACCATCACTGTGTGTTTTAGTGCTACGGACAGGAAGTGAGAGGGATTTTATACAAGGAAAAAAGAGAGTAGGTTTTGGTTGGTTGTTATCCGTTGCTTCCATTGAATGTGAGAATTTATTTGTATAATACCAAGACAATGATTGGGCAGTTGGCTCCATTGTATATTTGTATCAACTATTTTGTGACCTCTTATTTTCAATTAAAATTTCTAATTTTCACATTGTAAATTTTATCTCGTTACGTTCTTCGTTTATATTTGTATGTATTCTGACTTTTTGTGTCATCTGAATTAGAGGTAAAAAGCGGATTGAACAATTATGGAAAAATCGTTAATTGTGTCAAGTCGTGCGTCCTTGGCCATTGGACATTTACACCATTTTTTCAAACGAAATGGTAAAATATTTTGGATGGTCGGAACCTCTGCGGAATTTAGGTTTTTCTTCTAATTCTTATTAGAAAAATCTTGGTTCAAGTTTTGGTCTACATTAAATGGGGCATGTTAGAGGATAAAATTTTAGCGTGACAAATTAATCAAGTCCGGAGCTTTTTTTAGTCGTGTAATATCAATCTTGAAACTGACGTAATGTAAAGTAGTAGAATTCATGGGAATGGGTCCTTATCAAAGTCAACAAAAAAAAAGATTTTGAAGCTGACTAATGAGTAGGATCAAATTCTTGCAATTACTGCTCATCTAATTAACCTAATTTCCCCCCCAAAACTAAAGGCGTGACCAGTAAAATGATAAAACCTCCTGTTTTTCATTATAATAAAATTAGCAAAATTAGGTTCGGAGATTTTCCATCATTCATAGAATATTAATACATACACTCAATTTATATGATGTAAAATAAAATTTGTTTTTTAATGATAATATAGATTATTAGATTGTAAAAAAAATCCAGAAAAGTTAAGTTAATGGTTGGTTTGTGTTTTCATTTTCCATTTTCATTTTCAAAACGATTTTTAGCTTTCCCCGAAAATGGCATGTTTTTCGCGTTTTGAGCGTTTTCGACATTTATAATTGAAGACGCTGAAAACGATAAAAAGTCATTTTGCATTTTCATTTATAAATTTTAACTTGTTTTCGAAAATGTGTTTTCGAAAACGACGAACCAAATGCGTTTTTCACGTTTTCGAAAACGGAAAATGGACCGAAGACGGCAAATCAACCACGGCCTAAGCTTCTGTTTGAATACGTTTTAGAAATCGAAACTTTTCAAAAACTCTACAAGACCTTTGACCAAAGATTCAAAAACTTTGAGAAGAAATTTCGTTTGGGTTAGCTTTGTAGTGTGCTTTTTACAACATTTTGTCGTGCATTTTTTTTAAAAAAAATATTTGGAATTTGATGTTTGTACACCGAGCTTGACAACTCGGTGTATAGCCACCTCACAAACAAGGGCGGAGCTAGAATTGTTATTCAATGCGGAATTTTTTTTTTATGTATTCGTATCATTTACATGCTCTAACAATTCTTTCTTGATTGTTGTCTTAATGACAAACATAGTCGTACTCGCTTTGATTATCTACTTTTATAGAGCCATGATTTTGTTTGGCGGTATTGTGTCACTTCCGTCAGCTACTTCCTGTAGATCTTGTTCTTAGAAATAAAACTCTATGTAAATTTGTCACGTGGTATAATTTTTGGTTATTGAACTTTTTCATTACGTCTACGACTTTTAGGTTTTCTATCGTGATTTAATTGACCTCTTTGTAATCAAACTTACTTTGTAGAAGCTTTAGAATTTCCCTTTGTACAGGAACCCCAAAAGCTCAAAAATTCATCTATAATTGCTACTCTCTAATATCAAATTGTTAAATTTAAATATTAAAGAAACAATTTAATTGAGGGAAATTTGTATAATATTTTGTTACAAAATGCTCTCTCTCATCAAACACCAATACACGCCACCTCACTATCTATAACACCCACTCCACTTTGCTGAAAGTCTGCAAGTTAAGTCTCTCTCTATCACAACACTCAACCCACTTTCTCTCACTTTCTTTGTTTCTCCTCACTCATATCAATTCTCTGCAAGACGCCAACTAGTTTTCTCTCACACTCCATTTGGATATATATATATATGCATGGACCCTTCATAGCTCCACCCTTGCTCACTAGAAAAGGGGGGGAGGGGGGAAAAAAAATTGCAAGCCCCCCTCTTGTGAGGGAGGCTGTACACCGAGTTATGTCATGTCGTGTCATGTTTTCCCATCATTAGCCATTGTTTGACAATCATTATTGGGAAAAATAATATTTTGAATAATGATTTTTACAAAAACGTGTAGTTAAAAATAGAAAAAAGTCTTGAATTTACGTGTAAAATATTTTATTGAGTAAATATGTAATTAAAATTATGTAAAAAAAGAGTTTTCAAGTAATGGTTATCGAACAGACTTAATATAACTTTGTACGTAATACAACATTCCTTGTTCAAGTGGACATTGCAATTAATAAATAGATTTCTGTATCCCTCTTGACTTAGAAGATTGTTGTCGATATCGCAATTAAAGAGCCATAAAATCAAGTTGGACCCTTGCCATGTGACCATGTGGACCAAATGGTACATTATCTAATTAGTGAGCAATTTCTTGCACGAAACCTTGTTTTCTTCAATTGGTCAATTTCTTTTGTTTGTATTTCTTGGTCAATTATGGGTTAAGGAATATTAGTGAACATATATAATTTTATAAGCTCTCAGTTGTACTAAAATAAACGAAGTTGTTTGGATTTTGATCAACCACACTGCCTACTTTCGACGGCATCTCGATGGCTGCAAAACTAGTGACACGTAGTCAACACGAGGAATTTATGTCCGTAGATGCTGCTTTCGCGCCATAGTAAGTTCAACTATACTTACAAATGAATCGAAATGAAGTCTTTCAAGTATTCTTTATTTCAGACTCTTTTGATATGTTACTTTTGTAATGTATTTAAGTGTAATGATTTATTTATTTTGAAGTAATACTAGTTATATCTATAAATTACGTGATATACATGAAATGGAGGGAATCCCACGTAGGTCGACTCGACATTGTTATTAAATTGGAAGCTTGGATTTTGGATCAATTTCATTAAACCTAGTTTGGCCTATCTTCACTCCTATATATGCGAGTCCGTTTCACACATAAGTAATATTTTTTAACCCTAGATAAATCTTCACTCCTATACATGCGAGTCCATTTCACACATAAAGTAATGTTTCTAACCCTAGCCAAATCTCATCCCCTCATCTCTTGCCTCATTATCTCTCGTCCGCTTGTTGACTTGATCATTGAAGTGCAAATGATCGTTGGACCTGTTTCTTGGTCGATAACATTTGTTTCCTAACAGAGTGTTCAAGTACGCGGATGATGCCTATGTGGAGGGGAAGTGGCTAAGGTTTTCGATGAACATGCGTCCGTCAAATTTTGAGATCAACAATACTTATTTTACAATTAATAATTTAGCCTCTGATTGGATATAGATATGTAAATAGTTTATAAATTAAGTTTAAGTCAATTATTAATTTTAAATACACATTCATAACTATTACACATTATTATCCATATATTTATACAGCCTACTACTATTTCTCTTTATAAACCATTTATAAATTTGTCAAATGGAGGCTTAGTTATTTTCGAAGTTGATCAATAAAAAAAAAATAATTAAAACTGTAATTAAAAAGTATTCTTATATATTAATGTACTCGATTAATCTGAGAGTTTAGAATTAATTGAATGATAAAAAATATTATTAAGCAATTAAAATATTTAACTATTTCACAACGTAGATCTGTTAAATATATAAATTGTTTGTTTAGTGGATGAACGGTGACCAATGAATTTTGTCAAAGGTGGTTAACCTACTCTTATTAAGTTGGCTTAATTAGATCTAGTAGAAATGGTTTTCATTACATTCTTCAAGGGCCATTATATAAAATTCACGCGGTTCCTTATTTTAAAAATAAAAATAAAATAAAATTGCATAAATATGTTTTGCACCATAATTATGTTATTGAGGGTTCGTTTGGCAAGACTTTTCAAAAATTAAAAACAATTTTTGAAATTAGAAATTGCTTCTAAACATGTGTAAATGGTTAAGTGTTTTGTTTGACAATAAGAGATTTTAGAGAATGTTGATCCATCTAAAATAGTTTCATCAGAAAGATCTTTTACAAGAATGAGAAGTAAATGTAGAGTCTTGTCAAACGAACCCTAAAAATATAAAAGAATATAGGAAAAAATAATGCTTGTGGTACACCAAGATGTCCAAAATGGACACCCGGCTCCTCTGTATTGGTCGAGGCGCCGGTGGTCCCAGCGTGGCAGGCGCCTCGACTGGGTGTCCATTTTGAACACCCCATTGGACACCGCAATGTACCCATATCATGATTGTATAGGAAAAGGTAGTATTAGTTTACACAAAAATAGAGAAATAGAATATTTTGTTGGGAATGATACTATTAGAGTTGGTGAAAAGTAAAAATTGGAAAAAAAAAGAAAAAAAAGAAAAAGAAAAGAAATCAAAGTAAATAGATAATAAAAGTAAGAAAATTAGTATGCATGAAGTGATATTATTATTCAATACGTAATATTGAAAATGACTAACAACATGATAAAGATTTTAGTTTCTTCAATTCTTCTTTTACTTGTTAGTCTTGTTTAGTTGGGATTCGTAGGCTTTGAATTGGATTTTGGCATTTCGTTTGTCTTATGTGAGGTTGGCCTTACTATGATTTCCCATCGACATATTCCCAATCCCCCCTCCCCCCCACTTCAAGCCTATTTTGTTTTTAGTGAATGTCAAGAGGATTGGTGATTGAAGACCTCAACTTGCATTACGTTGTGATTTTGCTCGAATGTATTGACCCGATGTTTCATCTTAACAACTCGATAAATTTGAACATAGTGACCCAAACTTTGGCCCAAGTGGTAGTCTTTGAAGGATAAGCCGGTCCCGTAATGTAGGCCCAGCCCAAGTGTAAACCCCACGAGGATCAGTTTGTAAAGGATAAGATTTCTATGTCCAAATACGTGCGCCAAAGACTATCACTATATGTCAATTTTTTTTTGGGCATTCTTCAATAATGCTTGGTAGTATAAATCAAGGGAAATTTTCATAAGTGAGAGATTAAGTATGGTATATTTGAAAATTAAGAAAATAAGTTTCAAAATTCAAAAATAAGATTTTTATTTAAATTTATTTATGATTTAATTATTTAATTAATTTAATATATTTATGTCACAGATCTATACAGTTTGGTCACGATTTCACAATTTAATTACTAATTTATTATTTTTTGATCACAAATCAAAAATTTTACAAGTCACAGTTTGTTCATCGATCACAAATCAAAAAATTAATTAGTCACAGATTAATTTCTAGTCACAATTTATCAATTTATTACTCACAACTTATTTATCGATCACAAATAAAAAATTTTATATGTCACATATTATTTTTCGATCACAAATAAATTTTTTTATAGGTCACAAATTATTTATTGGTCACAGAATTACAACTTTTATTGATCACAACTCATATATTCATTTCAAATTATTAGATTAATTGGTCAAGATTAATTTTTTTGTCACAACTTAATCAATTGTAAGTCACAGTCGCAAATTTTAGGTCACATATTATAAATTTAGTCACGGTCACATATTTGGCCACGTATTTTTTATCGATTACAAAATAATCATAACATAATTGATCACAAACACTCTTTCCACCCACTGCAACACCGCCAACCACCCCTCGCCAAATCCATCAACACCGCCAGCCTCACCAATGCCAAAACCACCCAAATCCTCAACAACAAACGACCACCACTACTCCAACAAAAAAGAAAAAAAAAAAA